AAATGTTACATGGAATACAAAGAAATGAGTCAGTTGAGCTAAGTTAAATAGGCAAAGTGTCCTATAAGAGGAAGGAAATTATATGTACTAAAGAACAGAAATGTATAGAGCATTCCAAGAAAGGTAAGAGTGAGAAAAACTTTTGGGAGTGTGGTAAAGACATTAATCTGATGAGTAGTTTCAAAAAGGAACAGAGAAATAAGAGTGTCAAGATATTTGGAAAGCTAGAAGAAGGGTTTCTTTTAAACTAAAGGGTTCAGAAACAGCATCAGAGACTTCATGTCTAAAGCAGAAATTCCTCCTTCCTATGAGTCACACTGATATCTAGCTAGCTTCTTTTAGATTCCTTTCAGTTTGAGAAGTCGGCTACTTTGTACGGCAACTGATTCTGTTGTTAAACAGCTTTAATATTTAGAAGGTGTACTTTTATATCGAGCCAATTTCTTATAATTTCTACTAATTGGTCTTATTTCTGACGTTAGGAGTCAGAGAGTATTTTTATTTTTCCTATTACTATAACGTTTCCACTTTGCCAGGACTGCTGCATGCTCAAAATTCTTACTATTGTTCACTTTTCACCATATGACATGATTCTAAGGTCAACACTGAAAACCTTCCTAGGGTTACTGTGTTTTTTTTTTTAATTTGTATTTTTTAAAGTGCCAATCCGAAAAACATAGTATTAAAAATGTGGTCAATTAATAAAAAATGATCAGATGTATTGTTTTGTCCATTTATCTAAAAAGAAGCATGAAGGACTCTAAGATTTATTTAGCACATGTCACGTTCAGGGCATTTTCAGATATACTACTTAATTTTTAGAGCAAAGATAAACAATATTCCCATTTTACGAATGACAAAACAGACACAGTGAATTATGTATATTGATTAAGTTTTCTTAGCTACTAGTAATAGAACCCGTGTTTTAATCTTGGTGTTTCTGGTACTAATGCCCTGCCCACTACAATGACATTGCATGGCTTACAGTGATGTTAAGAAGCCCTTGCAGGCCAGGTGCAGTGGCTCAGAGCTGTAATCCCAGCACTTTGCGAGGCCAGGTGAGAAGATCACCTGACCTGAGGAGTTCAAGACAAATCTGGGCAAGCTAGCAAGACCTCGTCTGTACCGAAAATTAAAAAAAAAAAAAAAAAAAAAAACTGGGTGTGGTGGTGCACATCAACAGTCTTAGCTACTTGGGAGGCTGAGAGGAGGATCGCTTGAGCCTGGGAGATCAAGGCTGCAGTGAGCTATGATTGTGTCGCTGTACTCCAGCCTGGGTGACAGAGCAAAGAAGCCTTTGCAGGTCCTTGGAATGAAAACGAGAGTATACAAATTTGTTACCTTTGTTTTTAATATGGCAGAAAAGAACCTGAGCATAGAGAGATGATGAAGACCAAGTAAAGGGCTATAAAAATTAATGAAGGCATTGGATTCTAGATCAAGTCACTGACTGCAGAGACACAAGTAACAGGATAGGTTGGGTTTGGTGTAAAGGAGAAGGAAGAGGTAAATACGTGTATGTTAAAATTTGGCTTTCCCCCCCTAATTAAGGATGTTAATGATTGGGTTGGGCCACCAAATAATAATGGAGTAATTAAAGAAGTTACTATTAATCCAGACACTACTTGTGGCAATGACTGGGTCTGTGAACATCGATGGCGCCGAATAAGGTGAGAATATTTATTTTGACATGTCCTCTAATAGGAAACTTTCTTTAGCACTTTATTTAAAACAGTTGAAGTTTAAGAATATCAACTTTTTTATGTTACTGTGTTTGTAGGAACATGGTTGCTTTCCGCAATGTAGTGGATGGTGAGCCTTTTACAAACTGGTATGATAATGGGAGCAACCAAGTGGCTTTTGGAAGAGGAAACAAAGGATTCATTGTTTTCAACAATGATGACTGGTAAGTAAATATCAATTAAAATAATATTTTGTATCAGTATGTTCTTGATTCATTCTTTTTCTTTCTGTTCATTTACTTTTTATCGTATCTGAAAAATCATTTAGTCGGTGGAGCAAGAAGACAATAGCGATCAAAAATGGGCAGAAGCAAAATGATGATGGTTCTTACTCCTTCATTCTCCTCTTTTCATAAGGGCTTTCTGTTGTAAGCAGAGTCCTTTCTGTGTACCCTTGCAGTATCTTATACATACATAGAATTAACATGCATATG